CCCCCCCGACCTCTTCCCTGTCTACTGTACCCTGCCCCCTGACCTCTTCCCTGTCTACTGTACCCTGCCCCCTGACCTCTTCCCTGTCTACTGTACCCTGCCCCTGACCTCTTCCCTGTTCTACTGCCCCCTGACCTCTTCCCTTTCTACTGTACCCTGCCCCCTGACCTCTTCCCTGTCTACTGTACCCTTCCCCCCTGACCTCTTCCCTTTCTACTGTACCCTGCCCCCTGACCTCTTCCCTGTCTACTGTACCCTGCCCCCTGACTCTTCCCGTCTACTGTACCCTGCCCCCTGACCTCTTCCCTGTCTACTGTACCCTGCCCCCTGACCTCTTCCCTGTCTACTGTACCCTGCCCCTGACCTCTTCCCTGTCTACTGTACCCTTCCCCCTGACCTCTTCCCTTTCTACTGTACCCTGCCCCCTGACCTCTTCCCTGTCTACTGTACCCTTCCCCCTGACCTCTTCCCTGTCTACTGTACCCTGACCTCTTCCCTGTCTACTGTACCCTGCCCCCTGACCTCTTCCCTGTCTACTGTACCCTGACCTCTTCCCTGTCTACTGTACCCTGACCTCTTCCCTGTCTACTGTACCCTGCCCCCTGACCTCTTCCCTGTCTACTGTACCTGCCCCCTGACCTCTTCCCTGTCTACTGTACCCTTCCCCCTGACCTCTTCCCTGTCTACTGTACCCTGCCCCCTGACCCCTTCCCTGTCTACTGTACCCTGCCCCCTGACCTCTTCCCTGTCTACTGTACCCTGCCCCCTGACCTCTTCCCTGTCTACTGCCCCCTGACCTCTTCCCTGTCTACTGTACCCTGCCCCCTGACCTCTTCCCTGTCTACTGTACCCTGCCCCCTGACCCCTTCCCTGTCTACTGTACCCTGCCCCCTGACCTCTTCCCTGTCTACTGTACCCTGCCCCTTGACCTCTTCAAATTCATAGACTGAGCCATGGATGCAAGGACGGCTCAATCCATAAGATCAAAATGAAAGTTTTAACCATGTTTTGAAGCTATGAAGTGTTTATTTACAATTACATTGTTTACAAACGATGGAGTAAAATGCGTTGATGTTTATGGTTGTGATGGTGTGAGACAGTTGGATAAAGCTCAGCAGGCATTTACACGTTTCAATGGCTATATAGAGTACAGTGTTATTATTCCCCTTCAAAACCTTTTTAGCTTTTAAGTAAGATATTCAGTGGGAACTTCACCTGCGAGACACTATGTGGGGTGTTTTTCCAGTCTCCCTACGAAATCCTGAGTGATTAGAGGGTGTTTCAGACATAATTATGCACTATAGCGGTATTTAGAATTTTTCCCGCCGGGAGAGTTCCACCAATGTTGTCATTGGTTGATTGAGCCTGCTGCCCGATCTAAAAACGGAGTCATGATTTGTAGCATATATTTTTTTTGTTTGTATTTTACACCCATTTTCTACCCAATTTCATGATATCCAACTGCGATCTTGTCTCATCGCTGCAACTCCCCAACGGGCTCGGGAGATGCGAAGGTCGAGTCATGCGTCCTCCGAAACATGACCCGCCAAACCGTGCTTCTTAACACCTGCCCGCTTAAACCGGAAGCCAGCTGCACCAATGTGTCGAGGGAAACACTGTCCAACTGATGACCGAAGTCAGCCTGCAGGCGCCCGGCCCGCCACAAGGAGTCGCTAGAGTGCGATGAGCCAAGTAAAGCCCCCTCGGCCAAACCCTCCCCTAACCCGGGCGACGCTGGGCCAATTGTGCGCCGGCCTATGGGACCCCAGTCACGGCCGGTTGTGACACAGCCTGGGATTGAACCCAGGTCTAGTGACTCCTCAAGCACTGCAATTTTTATTTATTTATTTTACCTTTATTTAACTAGGCAAGTCAGTAAGAACAAATTCTTATTGTTAATAACGGCCTACACCGGTCAAACCCGGACAACGCTGGGCCAATTGTGCGCCGCCCTATGGGACTCCCAATCAGTGACGCCTCAAACACTGAGATGCAGTACATTAGACCGCTGCGCCACTTGGGAGGCTGATTTGTAGCAATTATTGTGGCCTTTGTGTTTCGCCGATTGCAAGATCACACTAGCAGCGAGTAGATATGGTTGGCCTTAGCACAATCAGTCTGGCAGGCTGCTACATACAGTGCATTCGGAAAGTATTCAGACCCTTTGACTTTTTCCACATTTTGTTACGTTACAGCCTTATTCTAAAATTGATTAAATAAATACAAATCCTCATCAATCTACACACAATACCCCGTAATAACATGTGGTCCTCTGTAGCTCAGCTGGTAGAGCACGGCGCTTGTAACGCCAAGGTAGTGGGTTCGATCCCCGGGACCACCCATACACAAAAATGTATGCACGCATGACTGTAAGTCGCTTTGGATAAAAGCGTCTGCTAAATGGCATATTAATTAATTAATTAATTAATAACAAAGCGAAAACAGGTTTTTAGATATGTTTGCATATTTATATAAAATAGATCAATACAAAAATACCTTATTTACATAAGTATTCAGACCATTTGCTGTGAGACTCGAAATTGAGCTCAGGTGCATCCTGTTTCCATTGATCATCCTTGAGATGTTTCTACAACTTGATTGGAGTCCACCTGTGGTAAATTCAATTGATTGGACATGATTTGGAAAGGCACACACCTGTCTATATAAGGTCCCACAGTTGACAGTGCATGTCAGAGCAAAAACCAAGCCATGAGGTCGAAGGAATTGTCCATAGAGCTCCAAGACAGGATTGTGTCGACGCACAGATCTGGGAAAGGGTACCAAAAAATTTCTGCAGCATTGAAGGTCCCCAAGAACCCAGTGTCCATCATTCTTAAATGGAAGAAGTTTGGAACCACCAAGACTCTTCCTAGAGCTGGCCACCCGGCCAAACTGAGCAATCGGGGGAGAAGGGCCTTGGTCAGGGAGGTGACCAAGAACCCGATGGTCACTCTGACAGAGCTCCAGAGTTTCTCTGTGGAGATGGGATATCCTTCCAGAAGGACAACCATCTCTGCAGCACTCCACCAATCAGGCCTTTATGGTAGAGTGGCCAGACGGAAGCCACTCCTCAGTAAAAGGCACATGACAGCCCACTTTGGGTTTGCCAAAAGCATTGTGGTGGCAGCATCATGCTGTGGGGATGTTTTTCAGCAGCAGGGACTGGGAGACTAGTCAGGATCAAGGGTAAGATTAACGGAGCAAAGTACAGAGAGATCCTTGATGAAAACCTGCTCCAGAGCGCTCAGGACCTCAGACTGAGGCGAAGGTTCACCTTCCAACAGGACAACGACCCTAAGCACACAGCCAAGACAACGCATGAGTGGCTTCGGGACAAGTCTCTGAATGTCCTTGAGTGGCCCAGTCAGAGCCCGGACTTGAACCCAATCGAACATCTCTGGAGAGACCTGAACATAGCTGTGCAGCAACGCTCCCCATCCAACCTGACAGTGCTTGAGAGAATCTGCAGAGAAGAAAATGGAGAAACTCCCCAAATACAGGTGTGCCAAGCTTGTAGCGTCATACCAAACAAGACTCGAGGCAGTAATCGCTGCTAAAGGGGCTTCAACAAAGTACTGAGTAAAGGGTCTGAATACTTATGTAAATGTCATAAGTTTTTTATTTTTTATAAATGTGCTAACATTTCTAAAAACCAGTTTTTGCTTTGTGATTATGGGGTATTGTGTGTAGATTGTTGAGGGGGAAAAAAACGATTCAATCCATTTTAGAATAAGGTTGTAACGTAACAACATGTGGAAAAAGTCTCAAGGGGTCTGAATACTTTCCGAAGGCACTGCAGGCTGATCAGTCTGCCAGGCTCCTATCTACAGTGACCAGCCTGAGGACCATCTATTCTAGCCAGATGGCGAATCAATTCTATTAACTAGTAAGCGTTAACCAAAAATATTCACCTAGCGGGTTTTGTTGCTGAAATGAGATGGCTAGCAGCAGAGATTGCTAGCATGGCTAACTATAACTTTATAGCATGGCTAGCATGGCTAACTATAACTATAGCATGGCTAGCATGGCTAACTATAACTATAGCATGGCTAACTATAACTATAGCATGGCTAGCATGGCTAACTATAACTATAGCATGGCTAGCATGGCTAACTATAACTATAGCATGGCTAGCATGGCTAACTATAACTATAGCATGGCTAACTATAACTTTATAGCATGGCTAGCACGTTGTTTCACGAGGCTTATGTTGAGTTTTAATGGGTTTTTATAGTAAAGACATGTCATTTAACTGTAAAAATGTATTACTTTTTATTGTGGCATGAACACAACCAGTCATGATGTTTTCATCTGATTGTCAAACAAATCACTTCAAAAACTAGGTTTCCTTCGCACGTTAGTCCAAAATTATTCCAGCATACGAAAATGGTGTGCACCTGCCAACTTTCCTTCAATTTGCAAGTGGCTAAAACTATCTCACCGGAGAAAGCATCCGAGCGAGCGAAACAGCGCCCCTCTGTCTCTCTATGTGTAGCCCATGTATCTGATGCTGTCTGGGCAAAAATAGTATGACATGTATCTAGATGATTATCAATATTAGTTATTTCTGTGATGGTTATCAATATTAGTTATTTCTGTTATGGTTATCAATATTAGTTATTTCTTGTGTAGCCTGCTATCCTACTTGAAAAAAAATCCTGAGATGGAAAAAAAAATCCATCCAATGGCGGTGCACTAGTCATTCGCACCGGCTTATCGACTCGTCGTGCAGCCCAATCAGCCACGCAAAACAGTCTTGAGTGGCAACAAATCTGCCCAATTAGCTGATTCGCTTTCCGTACTCACTCCTTTCGACTCGCCCATACTCCGGTCGCCATGTTGGGCTGCAGCTACACCTACTGACTGACGGAGCCTCCTTTATTATTTATTACATGAAAATGCATCTCTCCCTCTCTCTCTGTCTCTCTCTCTCTGTCTCTCTCTCTCTGTCTCTCTCTCTCTCTCTCTCTCTCTCTCTCTCTCTCTCTCTCTCTCTCTCTCTCTCTCAGGATCTCTACTTCAGGTTCAATGACGTAGCATACAGGTGGATCGCTCTTGACAACTGGACATACACCACTACATTTTCTGCCTCAACTGAGCTAAGGTACTATTTGCACAGCTTACACTTAATGTATTCTCTACTCCCAGGGCCGGTTCACCCGGACACAGAACAAGCCTTGTCTTTCAAGGCCGGTTCACCCGGACACAGAATAAGCCTCGTCTCGGAATAAAAATAACTTTCTATGGAGATTCTCCATTGAGCTGTCTTTTTAGTCTAGGACTAGGATTAATCTGTGTCCGGGAAGCCACCCCTCCGTTTTTCTAAGATAAACCTTGTTGTCCCCTTCTCCAGGGCTAAACAGAGAGTCCAGCTGGTGTTTGAAGGGGTGGACACTGTAGCGTCCATCTCTCTGAATGGAGTTGTTGTGGGAAAGACGGACAACATGTTCCGCAGATATGTATGGAAAATTTTTATTATTTCCCGTATGAACATGATTTATGTTGCACATTTTGTAGTATGATTTAAGGTGTGTATGATAGTTTTAGTTCAATTGTCAAATCTGTGTTACCATTTACATAATATGTATGTATAGTGATTTGTGTTTGATCTGGCCCAACAATCTCTTTAGATAACATTACTAACATAAGCCATTTACAGACACTTTTATCCAAAGCGACATTCAGCAAAGCGTGCATAAATTTTTCGTATATGGGTGACCCCCCCCCCAGAGGGCATCGAACCCGAAATCCTGACTATGCTTACCAACTGAGGCAGAGCCACACAGGACCACTTGATAACATGGTTTCCCTGATCTTCAGGACTTCAGCGTAGGCCAGTTGTTGAGAGAAGGGAAGAACGTTGTGAAGGTGAGCCTCCTTTCCCCTGTAGTGTACGCCTCAGAAAGGAGTCAGGCCCACTCCTCCTACAGGGTGCCCCCGGACTGTCCTCCGCCCGTCCAGAAGGGCGAATGTCACGTCAACTTTATCAGAAAGGTGAGTGGCTTGAAACTCTTGGGAATTTATAATATCATCTTTTCAGTTAATAGTGCTTATTGTGTGTTGACAGAAAACATTTAATCTTTCAGTTTTTTTACAGTTTAGTCATGTGTAATTTGATCTCCATCAAATTATGTCACTCTTGAAAGCTGTAACTCTTGGGAAGAATGTATTTGTATTTATTTAACCTTTATAGATCCCCACAGGGTTGTCGTCATAATACCCATTAAGCCTAGCGGAAATGGTTCCAATAGTAGCCCCCATTTTAGAAACACTTCAAATTAAGTCTGTTTTTTTTTCTCTGATGTTTTGATAACCCATGTAAATCCCTCTCGGACAAGGTGACTTTTATCAATATATTTGACTCTATTTACTCTCAGATTTCGAAAATGCTAATTAGCATCAAAGTAGACATCATGCAAGACTACAAATCCCTGCAAGCTCCTGCACGTCATCTCTAGAGGACACCTTTGCTGTCAGCTAGCTCGCTACTAGCTAGCTCGATCCAAAACGAAAGATATACTGAACATTAATTTACTGTTCCATATTTTATTTAACTAATATCTGTTGGCTTATTTATGCATTTGGTCTTGTGTTTTCTATCCTAGTAGCCGTCAGATATTTACAATGTGCAATGAATGGGCTAGTTTTTTTTGCAAAAAAAAAAAGCTAGCGATCTAGCTAGCTACCTAGATGATATTAGCAACATACCCTTATTTTAGGTTGTGGCTAGACGGTATACCAGCTACGGATGGATGTGACGCATAAATCATCAAAATCATCGTCATTTTGGAATCGTTTCAGGGAGCATTTTAACTAACCCTAAACCAGTGTCCAAACCTTAACTTAATTATCCTAACCTTAACCTAATTATCCTAACCTAACCTAGACATTTTAATAAATTTATTCAAAATGAAATACAAAAATACACTATAAATCTATAAATGTATGTGGACACCCCTTCAAATTAGTGGATTTGGCTATTTCAACCACAACCGTTGCTGACAGGTGTATAAAATTGAGCACACTGCCATGCAATCTCCATAGACAAACATTGGCAGTAGAATGGTTTTACTGAAGAGCTCAGTGACATTCAATGTGGCACCGTCATAGGATGCCAGCTTTACAACAAGTCCGTTTGTCAAATTTCTGCCCTGCTAGAGCTGCCCCGGTCAACTGTAAGTGCTGTTATTGTGAAGTGGAAACGTCTAGGAGCAACAACGGCTCAGCCGTGAAGTGGTAGGCCACACAAGCTCACAGAACGGGACCTCTGAGTGCTGAAGCGCGTAACGCGTGAATCATCTGTCCTCGGTTGCAACACTCACTACCGAGTTCGAAACTGCCTCTGGAAGCAACATCAGCACAATAACTGTTCGTCGGGAGCTTCATGAAATGGGTTTCCATGGCCGAGCAGCCGCACACAAGCCTAAGATCACCATGCGCAATGCCAAGTGTCAGCTGGAGTGGTGTAAAGCTCGCCGCCATTGGACTCTGGAGCAGTGGAAACGCGTTCTCTGGAGTGATGGATAACGCTCACCATCTGGCAGTCCGACGGACTAATCTGGGTTTAGTGGATGCCAGGAGAACACTACCTGCCTGAATGCATAGTGCCAACTGTAAAGTTTGGTGGAGGAGGAATAATGGTCTGGGGCTGTTTTTCATGGTTCGGGCTAGGCCCCTTAGTTCCAGTGAAGGGAAATCTTAACGCTACAGCATACAATGACATTATAGATGATTCTGTGCTTCCAACTTTGTGGCAACAGTTTGGGAAGACCCTTTCCTGGGACATTTGTGCACAAAGCGAGATCCATACAGAAATAGTTTGTCAAGATCGGTGTGGAAGAACTTGACCTGCCTGCACAGAGCCCTAACCTCAACCCCATCGAACACCTTTGGGATGAATTGGAACACAGACTGCGAGCCAGGCCTAATCGCCCAACATCAGTGCCCGACCTCACTAATGCTCTTGTAGCTGAATGGAAGCAAGTCCCCTCAGCAATGTTCCAACATCTAGTGGAAAGCCTTCCCAGAAGAGTGGAGGCTGTTATAGCAGCAAAGGGGGACCAACTCCATATTAATGCCCATGATTTTGGAATGAGATGTTGGACAAGCAGGTGTCCACATACACTACATCACCAAAAGTATCTCATTTACATAAGTATTCACACCCCTGAGTCAATAGATGTTAGAATCACCTTTGGCTGCGATTACAGCTGTGCGTCTTTCTGGGTAAATCTCTAAGAGCTTTCCACTCCTGGATTGTGCAACATTTGCCCTTTATTCTTTTCAAAATTCTTCAAGCTGTGTCAAATTGGTTGTTGATCGTTGCTAGACAACCATTTTCAAGTCTTGCCATAGATTTAAGTCAAAACTCAGCCACTGGAACATTCACTGTCTTCCTGGTAAGCAACTCCAGTGTAGATTTGGCCTTGTGTTTTAGGTTATTGTCCTGCTGAAAGGTGAATTCATCTCCCAGTGTCTGGTGGAAAGCAGACTGAACCAGGTTTTCCTCTAGAATTTTGCCTGTGCTTAGCTCCATTCCATTAAAAAAAAAAAATTATCCTGAAAAACTCCCTAGTTCTTAACTATTACAAGCATACCCATAACATGATGCTGCCACCACTATGCTTTAAAATATGGAGAGTGGTACTCAGTAATGTGTTGTATTGGATTTGCCCCAAACATAACACTTTGTATTCAGGACAAAAAGTTAATAGCTTTGCCACATTTTTTGTAGTATTACTTTAGTGCCTAGTTGCAAACAGGATGCATGTTTTGGAATATTTGTATTCTGTACAGGCTTCCTTCTTTTCAATCTGTCATTTTGGTTAGTATTGTGGAGTAACTACAATGATGTTGATCCATCCTCAGTTTTCTCCTATCACAGCCATTAAACTCTGTAACTGTTTTAAAGTCACCATTGGCTTCATGGTGAAATCCGTAAGTGGTTTCCTTCTTCTCCGTTAACTGAGTTAGGAAGGACGCCTGTATCTTTGGAGTGACTGAGTGTATTGATACACCATTCAAAGTGTCATTAATAACTTCACCATGCTCAAAGAGATATTCAATGTCTGCTTTAGTGTCTACTTTTTACCCATCTATCAATAGGTGCCCTTCTTTGTGAGGCATTGGAAAACCTCCCTGGTCTTTGTGGTTAAATCTGTGTTTGAAATTCACTGCTCGACTGAGGGACCTTACAGATAATTGTATGTGTGGGGGGACAGAGATGAGGTAGTCATTCAAAAATCATGTTAAACACTATTACTGCACACAGAGTGAGTCCATGCAACTTATTATGTGACTGTGGGGTAAGCACATTTTTACTCCTGAACTTATTTAGGCTTGCCATAAAAAAAAATGGCTTGAATACTTATTGACTCAAGACATTTCAGATTTTCATTTTTATTAATTTGTAGAAATGTCTAAAAACATAATTCCACTTTGAAATGATGGGGTATTGTGTGTAGGTCAGTGTCCCCCCAAAATCTAAATGTAATCATTTTAAACAGAAATTTCAGGCTGTAACACAACAAAATGTGGAAAAAGTCAAGGGGTGTGAATACTTCCTGTATGCCTCTTATACATAACACATAAACATCTGACTTGAAGTAAAGATTAAAGAGATTCTCTGGTACTTTTATATATATTTTGCCAACCTCTTGACTCAATATTGCAGTGTGCAGATGTTGAAGTTTTAGCAGGTAAAGTTGCTTTCTTTAATATATGGACATCAGAAGTAGCAGTCAAAGAAAGATATGGTGAAAACGTAAAGAAACACCCAGAAGCTTGTTTTTCCTCTACCACCATCAATTTATTCAATATTTTTAGCTTCAATTGTTCTGGAAAGAAGTAGAATAAAGTAATGAAATAATTACAAAATGGAAAATATTTTTAACTAGATCAGAGAACAGATCAGATCACAGGTTTGATAAAACAAGTACGTAAGACCAGAGTGATAGACACAGAGTGTGCATCCCAAATGGCACCCTATTCCCTATATAGTGCACTACCATATATAGTGCACTATATAGGGAATAGGGTGCAATTTGGGACACAAACAAGAGAAAGAGACACACAAACAGATCAATATCTGTCTCTTTCCACTGAAAACAGCTGGACTCACTGTCAGGACCACTGTCAGATTAAAGAGGTCAGGACCACCGTCAGATTAAAGAGGTCAGGACCACCGTCAGATTAAAGAGGTCAGGACCACCGTCAGATTAAAGAGGTCAGGACCACCGTCAGATTAAAGAGGTCAGGACCACCGTCAGATTAAAGAGGTCAGGACCACCGTCAGATTAAAGAGGTCAGGACCACCGTCAGATTAAAGATTTAGTTTTATTTTACCTTTATTTAACTAGGCATGTCAGTTAAGAACAAATTCTTATTTACAATGACGGCATACCAAAGGGCCTCCTGCGGGGACGGGGGCTGGGATTAAAAATTAAAATATAGGACAAAACACACATCACGACAAGAGAGACACCACAACACTACATAAAGAGAGACACCACAACACTACATAAAGAGAGACACCACAACACTACATAAAGAGAGACACCACAACACTACATAAAGAGAGACGCCACAACACTACATAAAGAGAGACACCACAACACTACATAAAGAGAGACGCCACAACACTACATAAAGAGAGACACCACAACACTACATAAAGAGAGACACCACAACACTACATAAAGAGAGACGCCACAACACTACATAAAGAGAGACACCACAACACTACATAAAGAGAGACACCACAACACTACATAAAGAGAGAGACACCACAACACTTTGCAATTGCTGTTTGCTTATTTCAACTTACCTACTTTGGCGTTTCACTTCCACACCATAACGCACCGCTGGCATCCTGCACATGTCCACTGGTTTCTAGTACGTTGCTGTTCTTCTAACGGCTCTGTTTATCATGATGGAGCCAGGTGATCCATTACTTTAACCAGATACTCTAGTGGCCGCTCTAACAATTAAAATAAATGTCTTCAAATATATATATATAACGCAGTCGGGAGGAGGCAAGATCAGGTGAAACCATTCTAGCTCATGAGAGGGCAGACACGCGTGTGAACAACAGGCACGGTTTCCACTAGTTACCACAGCCACAAAGACAATAGTCTATCGTAAAAATGGATGAAAACTAAAAGTTGTTTTTTGGTTTTCATTTAAGGTTAGGCATAAGGTTAGCAGTGTGGTTAAGGTTTTAAATCACCATCCAACGTACAGATACTTAAAACATTGGCATCATTATTGTGTGCCCTACAAAATAACAGTCAGTTATATTTGTGATCACCATTCACCTGTTGGATAGCTCTCCTGTCTGATGGTCTTTTACCCCGCCAGGCTCAGAGTTCCTTCAGTTGGGACTGGGGACCGTCATTCCCAACCCTGGGGCTGTGGAAGGGTGTTCACCTGGAGGCCTTTGATGTGCTGCGACTGATCCATCTCTCTACCGTGCCAGTCTATGGTATGTGTCTCTCTCTCTCTCTCTCTGCATGTGCATCTAACTATTCTGAAATCGGTATCAGTACAGTTACTCGGTGAACTCTCCTAGGCTGAATCCCAGATCATCCCTTCCCCTCGCTCCTCTGGCCTCCATTTGTGCGTTCAGGCACGCCTCTGCCATATGCACAAATGTCCCAAAGCTGAGGGAGTTAAAATGCTGGAGGGTGTAGTGGCTAATTAGACTCATCGATAGCCACTTTGACCGAGTCTGCTTCGCTGCTGGCTTCAGAGTGAAGTGATATATCCCATAACACACCACATGCCTAATGTAACATGTGAAATACTTTCCAAATGAACTGTTTAACTGTTACTGAGGTATATTTCTTGTGAAACGACGGGGAATTTTCTCAGTTAAATTTCATGCTCGTTTTATAAGTGTGTCCAGAAGTTTATGCTTTTATTTGATCCCCTCGCAATTCTTGAAGTCACCCTCTGAGTTTCGTCAGCAACACGTGACAATGGAGGGCCCACCAAGCACGTTGGTAGGGGCGAGGGGGTGGTTTGGGATTCACCGCTAGTCATGGAAAGCCCTCTTCTTCCTCTTCCTGTCTCCCAGACTCCTCTCTGTCTCAGTGGGCGGTGAGGGTGGAAGTGTTGGTTGATGCTGTGGAGGAGACTGAAGCCCAGGTCAACCTCTCTCTGATGGAGCTGTCTACACAACACACCTTCACAGTGATGTTTCTCTCTGGGCAGAGCAGGAACACCTTCAGCCTCCATGTGAACACAGTTAGTATGGGCTGCTGGGTGGGAAGGTGACTGTATGGTTGTGTCCCCAATAGCACCCTATTCCCTTTATAGTGTACTACTATTGAGCAGAGTCCATAGTGTTAGGGTCCAGGGGGTTAGGGTCCATAGTGTTAGGGTCCAGGGGGTTAGGGTCCATAGTGTTAGGGTCCATAGGGTTAGGGTCCATAGTGTTAGGGTCCATAGGGTTAGGGTCCATAGTGTTAGGGTCCATAGGGTTAGGGTCCATAGTGTTAGGGTCCATAGTGTTAGGGTCCATAGTGTTAGGGTCCATAGTGTTAGGGTCCATAGGGTTAGGGCCCATAGGGTTAGGGCCCATAGTGTTAGGGCCCATAGTGTTAGGGCCCATAGTGTTAGGGTCCATAGTGTTAGGGTCCATAGTGCTAGGGTCCATAGTGTTAGGGTCCATAGTGTTAGGGCCCATAGTGTTAGGGCCCATAGTGTTAGGGTCCAGGGGGTTAGGGTCCAGGGGGTTAGGGTCCATAGTGTTAGGGTCCATAGTGTTAGGGTCCATAGTGTTAGGGTCCATAGTGTTAGGGCCCATAGTGTTAGGGTCCATAGTGTTAGGGTCCAGGGGGTTAGGGCCCATAGTGTTAGGGCCCATAGTGTTAGGGTCCATAGTGTTAGGGTCCATAGTGTTAGGGTCCATAGTGTTAGGGTCCAGGGGGTTAGGGTTCATAGTGTTAGGGTCCATAGTGTTAGGGCCCATAGTGTTAGGGCCCATAGTGTTAGGGTCCATAGTGTTAGGGTCCATAGTGTTAGGGCCCATAGTGTTAGGGCCCATAGTGTTAGGGTCCATAGGGTTAGGGTCCATAGTGTTAGGGTCCATAGTGCTAGGGTCCATAGTGTTAGGGTCCATAGTGTTAGGGCCCATAGTGCTAGGGCCCATAGTGTTAGGGTCCATAGGGTTAGGGTCCATAGGGTTAGGGTCCATAGTGTTAGGGTCCATAGTGTTAGGGTCCATAGTGTTAGGGTCCATAGGGTTAGGGTCCATAGTGTTAGGGTCCATAGTGCTAGGGTCCATAGTGTTAGGGTCCATAGTGTTAGGGTCCATAGTGTTAGGGTCCATAGGGTTAGGGTCCATAGGGTTAGGGTCCATAGTGTTAGGGCCCATAGGGTTAGGGTCCAGGGGGTTAGGGTCCATAGTGTTAGGGTCCATAGGGTTAGGGTCCATAGGGTTAGGGTCCATAGTGTTAGGGTCCATAGTGTTAGGGTCCATAGTGTTAGGGTCCATAGGGTTAGGGTCCATAGTGTTAGGGTCCATAGTGTTAGGGCCCATAGTGTTAGGGCCCATAGGGTTAGGGTCCATAGTGTTAGGGTCCATAGTGTTAGGGTCCATAGTGTTAGGGCCCATAGTGTTAGGGCCCATAGTGTTAGGGCCCATAGTGTTAGGGCCCATAGTGTTAGGGTCCATAGTGTTAGGGTCCATAGTGTTAGGGTCCATAGTGTTAGGGTCCAGGGGGTTAGGGCCCATAGTGTTAGGGTCCAGGGGGTTAGGGTCCATAGTGTTAGGGTCCATAGTGTTAGGGTCCATAGTGTTAGGGTCCATAGTGTTAGGGCCCATAGGGTTAGGGCCCATAGTGTTAGGGCCCATAGTGTTAGGGTCCATAGTGCTAGGGTCCATAGTGTTAGGGTCCATAGTGTTAGGGCCCATAGTGTTAGGGCCCATAGTGTTAGGGTCCTTAGGGTTAGGGTCCAGGGGGTTAGGGTCCATAGTGTTAGGGTCCATAGTGTTAGGGTCCATAGTGTTAGGGCCCATAGTGTTAGGGTCCATAGTGTTAGGGTCCAGGGGGTTAGGGCCCATAGTGTTAGGGCCCATAGTGTTAGGGTCCATAGTGTTAGGGTCCATAGTGTTAGGGTCCATAGTGTTAGGGTCCAGGGGGTTAGGGTTCATAGTGTTAGGGTCCATAGTGTTAGGGCCCATAGTGTTAGGGCCCATAGTGTTAGGGTCCATAGTGTTAGGGTCCATAGTGTTAGGGCCCATAGTGTTAGGGCCCATAGTGTTAGGGTCCATAGGGTTAGGGTCCATAGTGTTAGGGTCCATAGTGCTACGGTCCATAGTGTTAGGGTCCATAGTGTTAGGGCCCATAGTGCTAGGGCCCATAGTGTTAGGGTCCATAGGGTTAGGGTCCATAGTGTTAGGGTCCATAGTGTTAGGGTCCATAGTGTTAGGGTCCATAGTGTTAGGGTCCATAGGGTTAGGGTCCATAGTGTTAGGGTCCATAGTGCTAGGGTCCATAGTGTTAGGGTCCATAGTGTTAGGGTCCATAGTGTTAGGGTCCATAGGGTTAGGGTCCATAGGGTTAGGGTCCATAGTGTTAGGGCCCATAGGGTTAGGGCCCAGGGGGTTAGGGCCCAGGGGGTTAGGGCCCATAGTGCTAGGGTCCATAGTGTTAGGGTCCAGGGGGTTAGGGTCCATAGTGTTAGGGTCCATAGTGTTAGGGTCCATAGTGTTAGGGTCCATAGTGTTAGGGTCCATAGTGTTAGGGCCCATAGTGTTAGGGTCCATAGTGTTAGGGTCCATAGTGTTAGGGCCCATAGTGTTAGGGCCCATAGGGTTAGGGTCCATAGTGCTAGGGTCCATAGTGTTAGGGTCCATAGTGTTAGGGTCCAGGGGGTTAGGGTCCATAGTGTTAGGGTCCATAGTGCTAGGGTCCAGGGGGTTAGGGTCCAGGGGGTTAGGGTCCAGGGGGTTAGGGTCCATAGTGTTAGGGTCCAGGGGGTTAGGGTCCATAGTGCTAGGGTCCATAGTGTTAGGGCCCATAGTGTTAGGGTCCATAGTGTTAGGGTCCATAGTGTTAGGGTCCATAGTGTTAGGGTCCATAGTGTTAGGGTCCATAGTGTTAGGGCCCATAGTGTTAGGGTCCATAGTGTTAGGGTCCATAGTGTTAGGGTCCATAGTGTTAGGGCCCATAGTGTTAGGGCCCATAGTGTTAGGGTCCATAGTGTTAGGGTCCATAGTGTTAGTGCATTAAATAGGGAATAGGATGCCATTTGGGACACATCCTATGACTACTGGAATGACCTCTGAATGTCAGAGTTTTAGCATATCTCTGTTCTTCGCAGTGCTGAGGTAAATGTCTAGTGTGTGTGTTGTAGAGTAACCAGGTGAAGCTGTGGTGGCCCAGTGGCCATGGTGAGCAGCCCTCCTATCGTCTCAGTGTAAGAGGAACCATGCTGGAGGGAACAGCCATACTCAGGACAGACACACAGGTCAGAACTCAACATCTCTACTCCTCTCTCCTATTCTCTCTCTTCTCACTGTCTCCAGTCCTCTCTCTTCTCACTGTCTCCAGTCCTCTCTCTTCTCACTGTCTCCAGTCCTCTCTCTTCTCACTGTCTCCAGTCCTCTGTCTTCTCACTGTCTCCAGTCCTCTCTCTTCTCACTGTCTCCAGTCCTCTGTCTTCTCACTGTCTCCAGTCCTCTGTCTTCTCACTGTCTCCAGTCCTCTGTCTTCTCACTGTCTCCAGTCCTCTGTCTTCGCTCTGTCTCCAGTCCTCTCTCTTCTCTCTGTCTCCAGTCCTCTCTCTTCTCACTGTCTCCAGTCCTCTCTCTTCGCTCTGTCTCCAGTCCTCTCTCTTCTCACTGTCTCCAGTCCTCTCTCTTCTCACTGTCTCCAGTCCTCTCTCTTCTCACTGTCTCCAGTCCTCTCTCTTCTCACTGTCTCCAGTCCTCTCTCTTCTCTCTTCTCACTGTCTCCAGTCCTCTCTCTTCTCACTGTCTCCAGTCCTCTCTCTTCTCACTGTCTCCAGTCCTCTCTCTTCTCACTGTCTCCAGTCCTCTCTCTTCTCACTGTCTCCAGTCCTCTCTCTTCTCACTGTCTCCAGTCCTCTCTCTTCTCACTGTCTCCAGTCCTCTGTCTTCTCACTGTCTCCAGTCCTCTGTCTTCGCTCTGTCTCCAGTCCTCTCTCTTCTCTCTGTCTCCAGTCCTCTCTCTTCTCACTGTCTCCAGTCCTCTCTCTTCTCACTGTCTCCAGTCCTCTCTCTTCTCACTGTCTCCAGTCCTCTCTCTTCTCACTGTCTCCAGTCCTCTCTCTTCTCACTGTCTCCAGTCCTCTCTCTTCTCACTGTCTCCAGTCCTCTCTCTTCTCACTGTCTCCAGTCCTCTCTCTTCAGTCCTCTCTCTTCTCACTGTCTCCAGTCCTCTCTCTTCAGTCCTCTGTCTTCTCACTGTCTCCAGTCCTCTCTCTTCAGTCCTCTGTCTTCTCACTGTCTCCAGTCCTCTCTCTTCTCACTGTCTCCAGTCCTCTCTCTTCTCACTGTCTCCAGTCCTCTCTCTTCTGACTGTCTCCAGTCCCCTCTCTTCTCACCTCCTATTCCCTCTCAAAGTGTAAATTCATCAGATGTAATGTAAGTAGTATTTAGCTAACCTGGTTAAACCAGACAGAATGCTAAAATCACTATTGCTTCACTGGTGATCTTAGTCTTTAGGATCTTAGGTTTAACCAGGCTGGTATTCTGCTTCCAACAGGTGTTACTGTATTTATCATCCATCTCCAGATGTATTTAACATCCTCTCTATGTTAATCCCAAGGTGTATTTCCGTACAGTGGAGCTGGTCCAGGAGCCAATCGCTGGTTCCCCTGGGCTGAGTTTCTACTTCCGGGTCAACAAGAAGCCCATCTTCCTGAAGGGGTCAAACTGGATCCCAGCTCACGCCCTTCAGGACCTGGTCAGCCCTGCTGAGTGAGGCACACACACACACACTCACACACACACACTCACACACACACACACACTCACACACACACACACACACAGACACTTAATCGTCTTTGGTCTTAATCATGATATCAACCTTTCACTCATTAAATACTTCTAAGATGGGATGTGTTTTGTATATTTGAAACGGCCACATTACATTAACATTTTAGTAATTTAGCAGACGCTCTTATCCAGAGCGACTTACAGTTAGTGAGTGCATACATTTTTCATACTGGCCCCCTGTGGGAATCGAACCCACAACCCTGGCGTTGCAAGCGCCATGCTCTACCAACTGAGCTACAGGGGACTATTACAATGTCATTGTATTTGCATTATGATTCAAACAAGACTTTAGTGTTCTGATTTAACCCCCTAGAGTCGATTGACACACCGGTGCGTCAATCTAAGTTACATAACAAAAAAATCTCCATAAAAATCTGTCAGTTTAAACAAGATATATATATATTTTTTTTTTTATATATTTTTTTTTTTGCATTGGATGAGTCTCAATCCACCACATTCACCAGTGGATGAGTCTCAATCCACCACATTCACCAGTGTCCCACTTCCATATCTGAGGTGAAAGGTGACAGAGCTAGAGCGGTGTTTGTCAGACCGTGAGACATCCTGAAAATTGGTCTTCTCATGTAAACGTCTGTAGCGTCCGAACTGTTTGGGCTACAAATTAATGGGACCCCATCGTGGAACCCCATCGTGGAACCCCATCGTGGAACCCCACTGTGGAACCCCACTGTGGAACCCCATCGTGGAACCCCATCGTGGAACCCCATCGTTGGAACCCCACTGTGGAACCCCATCGTGGAACCCCATCGTTGGAACCCCACTGTGGAACCCCATCGTGGAACCCCATCGTGGAACCCCATCGTGGAACCCCACTGTGGAACCCCATCGTGGAACCCCACTGTGGAACCCCACCGTGGAACCCCACTGTGGAACCCCACCGTGGAACCCCACTGTGGAACCCCATCGTTGGAACCCCACTGTGGAACCCCATCGTGGAACCCCACTGTGGAACCCCATCGTGGAACCCCGCTGTGGAACCCCGCTGTGGAACCCCATCGTGGAACCCCACTGTGGAACCCCATCGTGGAACCCCACTGTGGAACCCCATCGTGGAACCCCACTGTGGAACAGTGTTCTCCGTTATTCAATGTGTTTCAATGGGCTTTAGACGTAAAGGACAAAAAACATTATTTTTTTTAATGTAGCAATTTTTTTTTCTTCCTAAAGGGTTCCTAAAAATCTAATAGCTAAATGATCCATAGTATGACCATCTTAAAACAATTCCACATGTCAGCTTAGCAACCCCCCTCCCCCAACGTCTTAGCTTAGCAACCCCCCCTCCCCCAACGTCTTAGCTTAGCAACCCCCCTCCCCCAACGTCTTAGCTTAGCAACCCCCCTCCCCCAACGTCTTAGACTCTAAAGAATTAAAACTCTCACTGTAACCTGATAGATTTGAACAGACAGTAGTTAGTTGTTAGTGTCTCGTTTTATTCATTGCCTAACCATTGACAACAGTTGTGTTCTGTTTCAGTGTGAGGAACCTTCTACAGTCGACTGTAGACGCTAATATGAACGCTCTCAGGGTCTGGGGGGGTGGAGTCTATGAGCAGGACCTGTTCTACACTCTCTGTGATGAGATGGGCGTCATGGTAACTAACAAACTGACTGACTGACTGACGAGTGCTCTTTCTCCTTGTCTTCGTAAACAAATGTTCATTTTTTACCCCATTTTAATAGTATAGAGACCGACAGACAAGACCTAAGTCTGTTGCCAAACTCAAACAAGGGGTCCGTACCAAATGGCACTCCGTTCCCTATATAGTGCAGTACTTTAGACCAGAGAATGGCACCCCGTTCCCTATATAGTGCACTACTTTAGACCAGAGAATGGCACCCCGTTCCCTATATGGTGCACTACTTTAGACCAGAGAATGGCACCCTATTACCTATATAGTGCACTACTTTAGACCAGAGAATGGCACCCTATTCCCTATATGGTGCACTACTTTAGACCAGAGAATGGCACCCTATTCCCTATATAGTGCACTACTTTAGACCAGAGAATGGCACCCTATTCCCTATGTGGTGCACTACTTTAGACCAGAGAATGGCACCCTATTCCCTATATAGTGCACTACTTTAGACCAGAGAATGGCACCCTATTCCCTATATAGTGCACTACTTTAGACCAGAGAATGGCACCCTATTCCCTATATAGTGCACTACTTTAGACCAGAGAATGGCACCCTATTCCCTATATAGTGCACTACTTTAGACCAGAGAATGGCACCCTATTCCCTATGTGGTGCACTACTTTAGACCAGAGAATGGCACCCTATTCCCTATATAGTGCACTACTTTAGACCAGAGAATGGCACCCTATTCCCTATATAGTGCACTACTTTAGACCAGAGAATGGCACCCTATTCCCTATATAGTGCACTACTTTAGACCAGAGAATGGCACCCTATTCCCTATATAGTGCACTACTTTAGACCAGAGAATGGCACCCTATTCCCTATATAGTGCACTACTTTAGACCAGAGAATGGCACCCTATTCCCTATATAGTGCACTACTTTAGACCAGAGAATGGAACCCTATTCCCTATATAGTGCACTACTTTAGACCAGAGAATGGAACCCTATTCCCTATATAGTGCACTACTTTAGACCAGAGAATGGCACCCTATTCCCTATATAGTGCACTACTTTAGACCAGAGAATGGAACCCTATTCCCTATATAGTGCACTACTTTAGACCAGAGAATGGCACCCTATTCCCTATATAGTGCACTACTTTAGACCAGAGAATGGCACCCTATTCCCTATATAGTGCACTACTTTAGACCAGAGAATGGCACCCTATTCCCTATATAGTGCACTACTTTAGACCAGAGAATGGCACCCTATTCCCTATATAGTGCACTACTTTAGACCAGAGAATGGAACCCTATTCCCTATATAGTGCACTACTTTAGACCAGAGAATGGCACCCTATTCCCTATATAGTGCACTACTTTAGACCAGAGAATGGAACCCTATTCCCTATATAGTGCACTACTTTAGACCAGAGAATGGCACCCTATTCCCTATATAGTGCACTACTTTAGACCAGAGAATGGCACCCTATTCCCTATATAGTGCACTACTTTAGACCAGAGAATGGCACCCTGTTCCCTATATGGTGCAGTACTTTTGACAAATACCTTGTCTGTCCTTAGATCTGGCAGGACTTCATGTTTGCCTGTGCCATGTATCCCACTGAGCCTGACTTCATAGAGACGGTTAGAGAGGAGGTTGTCCAACAGGTGAGCTACACCTACAGGTTGATGTTAGTAGCTTTGTCCAGGCCTCGACGGCCCATAGAGTACACTACAGGTTGATGTTAGTAGCTTTGTCCAGGCCTCGACGGCCCATAGAGTACACTACAGGTTGATGTTAGTAGCTTTGTCCAGGCCTCGACGGCCCATAGAGTACACTACAGGTTGATGTTAGTAGCTTTGTCCAGGCCTCGACGGCCCATAGAGTACACTACAGGTTGATGTTAGTAGCTTTGTCCAGGCCTCGACGGCCCATAGAGTACACTACAGGTTGATGTTAGTAGCTTTGTCCAGGCCTCGACGGCCCATAGAGTACACTACAGGTTGATGTTAGTAGCTTTGTCCAGGCCTCGACGGCCCATAGAGTACACTACAGGTTGATGTTAGTAGCTTTGTCCTCGACGGCCCATAGAGTACACTACAGGTTGATGTTAGTAGCTTTGTCCAGGCCTCGACGGCCCATAGAGTACACTACAAATCTCCTGTTTCAGACAGCTTAATGTAGCATCCCCTGGACAAGGCCTTGATGTATGTTAATATTGATTATGATGACTCATTTCCTGGTTATAGCATGTAATAACATGTTATAACACGTGTTCCTTCCTGTTTCCTCACCCCAATCAGGTGAGGCGCTTAAAGTCCCACCCCTCGGTCATCGTGTGGAGTGGGAACAACGAGAATGAGGCTGCCCTGGCCACTGATTGGTTCGGCATCCCTGTTGCCCAGCAACCCCGGTACCATAGAGACTATGTGACTCTGTATGTGGACAACATCAGGGCTATTGTTCAGAAGGTGAGAGGCATGTCTGAGACAGTTAACTAAGAAATACTGTAGTAAGAGTCATGACCTGCGTCTAATGTGGTCCTCTGTAGCTCAGCTGGTAGAGCACGGCGCTTGGAACGCCAAGGTAGTGGGTTCGATCCCCGGGACCACCCATACACCAAAAACAAATGTATGCACGCATGACTGTAAGTCGCTTTGGATAAAAGCGTCTGCTAAATGGCTTATTATTATTATTATTATTATTATTATTAAATGGCATATTATTATTATTATTAACCCTAGTGCCTATGTGGGTCATTCTACAGAAGTGTAAATTGGGGGATGATATTTTTCTTCTTCTAATTTGCATCTTATTTTCCCCCTAACTTTCAGCACGTCTTCCAACATGTCAGGTAGACATATACAGGATACTAAACTACATTAGTCACTACTGAAACATGGTGAAAAGGGTGCAGGGGAGAGAGACCCCTGCACAGTAGTGATCATTTTGATTAACCTAATATTACAGATTCATTTTAGACATTTTATTTGCATACCAAATTAACTAAATAGTAAAAACAATATTTTTAAACTGATTTTCAAAACCTTTAAATTGAATTCAGAGAAATATCATCTCTATTCTTCTCTGTAAAAAGTTCAGTGTGGATTGTATGAATCTGAAACTTGCTGATTTGATTTATGCATCTAATTAATTATGTTGTTAGACAGGTAAAGTGATCATTTAAACATCTTTATTTTGGCAAAATAACAGGTGTTTTGGTGTCAAGTATCAATCATAGAGATACATATCCTCTGTAGCTCAATTTGGTAGAGCATGGCGTTTGTAACGCCAGGGTAGTGGGTGAGTTTCGATCTCCCCGGGACCACCCATACGTAACAAATGTATGCACCCACATGACTTTAAGCCGCTCTTGGGATAAAGCGTCTGATGGAAATTACTTATAGATTATATACTGATAGTTTATATCTGTAAGTAATACGAGGTAGAGAGTAGGGTGTAGGTAGGTCGGTAGGTAGGTAGAGTCGGACTAAGCGATGTAGAACGGTAGGTAGAGTGTAGTGGTAAGAATAGGTAGTGTAGGTATTGGTACGGTAGTAGTATGGTCGAGAGTAGAGTATGTACGGTTAGATAGATGTACGTAGTTGGTCGTAGGGTGGTAGGGTAGGGTGAGTAGGTGAGGTAGATATGGTAGGTAAGTAGGTACGGTAGGTAGTACGTAGTTGGTACGGTTAGGTGGTAGGGTAGGGTAGAGTACGTAGGGTAGGTAACGGTAGAGAGGGTGTATGCAGTAGGGTAGAGTACGTATGGTAGGGTAGAGTAGGTAGGTAGATAGGTAAGTTGGACGGTTAGTAGATATGGTCGGTAGTAGGTATGGTCGGTAGGGTAGAGTACGGTGGTCAGAGTAGATGGGTAGAGTACGTGGGTCAGTATGGTATAGGGTAAGTATGTACGTGTGTCTAGTTGTACGGTAGTGTAAGTACGGTAGTGGTAGTAGGTATAGAGTATGGTACGGTAGGGTAGTTGGTAACGAGTAGAGTTGAGTAGGGTAGAGTACGGTAGGGTATGAGTACGTAGAGTATGGTACGGTAGGGTAGAGTATCGGTATCGGTAGGGTAGAGTAGGTAGGATACGGTAGGGTAGAGTAGGTAGAGTTAGAGTGGTAGGTAGAGTACGGTATGGTAGGGTATGAGTACGGTAGGGTAGGTGAGTAGGTACGTAGGGTAGATAGAGTAGTAGGGTAGAGTAGAGTAGAGTATGGTTAGGTAGAGTATGGTAGGGTAGAGTATGGTAGGGTAGGTACGGTAGGGTAGATACGGTAGGGTTAGAGTACGGTTAGGTATGGTAGGAGTACAGTGGTAGGAGAGTACGGTAGGGTTAGAGTAGGGTAGAGTAGGTAGAGTAGAGTAGACGGTAGGTACGGTAGGGTGTAAGTATGTACGGTAGGGTAGAAGTAGGGTAGAGTACGGTAGGGTAGAGTAGGGGTAGGGTAGAGTATGGTAGGTAGTAGTACGGTATGGTAGGGTAGAGTAGAGGTATGGTAAGGGAGTAGAGGGTATTAGGTAGGGTAAGAGTATGGTAGGGTAGAGTATGGTAAGGGTAGAGTAGGTAGGGGTACGAGTAGAGTACGGTAGGGTAGAGTACGGTAGGTAGAGTACGGTAGGGTAGAGTAGAGTAGGGAGTACGTAGGGTAAGAGTACGAGTAGGTTGTTATAGGGTAGAGGTAGTAGAGGTAGAGTAGTAGGGTAGGTAGGTAGGTAGGGTAGAGTATGGTACGGTAGGGTAAGTACGGTATGGTACGGTAGGGTAGAGTATGGTACGGTAGGGTAGTAGGGTAGTAGGTACGGTAGGGTAGAGTAGGGTAGGGTAGTAGTGAGTACGGTGGTAGGGTAGAGTACGGTATGGGGTAGGGTAGAGTACGGGTAGGGTAGAGTACGAGTAGGGTAGAGTACTGGTAGGGTAGTAGTAGTAATAGGGTAGGTAGTAGGTAGAGTGAGGTGGTGTAGGTAGGGTAGGGTAGAGTACGGTAGGTAGGTAGAGTAGTAGTAGGTACGGTAGGTAGAGTACTGGTACGGGTAGGGTAGAGTAGGTAGGGTAGGTAGTAGGTAGAGTATGGTAGGGTAGGGTAGGTGGTAGAGTACGGTAGGGGTAGGGTAGGTACGGTAGGGTAGAGTACGGTAGGGTTGTAGAGTATCGGTAGGGTAGAGTACGGTAGGGTTAGAGTACGGTACGGTAGGGTAGAGTATGGTAGGGTAGAGTAGGGTAGAGTATGGTACGGTAGGGTAGAGTAGGTGGGTAGAGTACGGTTAGGGTGGAGAGTATGGTGGGTAGAGTAGGGTAGAGTACTGGTAGGTAGAGTACTAGGTAGAGTAGGTGGTGAGTACGTAGGGTAGGTAGAGGTAACGGTAGGGTAGAGTAGGTAGGTAGGGTAGAGTAGAGGTAGGTAGGTATGGTAGGAGTTATGGTAGGGTAGAGTTAGGGTAGAGTGGTGGTAGGTAGGGTAGGTAGGGTAGGTACGGTGGGTAGAGAGTGGTAGAGTACGGTAGGTAGTGGTAGGGTAGATACGGTAGGGTTAGGGTAGTAGGTAGGTAGGGTAGAGTACGGTTAGTTGGTAGGGTTAGAGTACGGTAGGGTAGGGTAGAGTAGTAGTAGTATGGTAGGTAGGGTAGATACGGTAGGGTAGAGAGTACGGTAGGTAGGGTAGATGGTGAGTGGTAGGGTAGGTGGTAGGGTAGAGTAGGGTAGAGTAGAGTACGGTAGGGTAGGGTAGATGGTGGAGGTAGGTAGGGTAGGGTAGGTAGATGGTATGGTAGGGTAGAGTACGGTAGGGTAGAGTATGGTAGGGTAGGGTAGAGTAGGGTAGAGTACGGTAGGGTAGAGTAGGGTAGAGTAGGGTAGAGTATGGTAGGGTAGAGTACGGTAGGGTAGAGTAGGGTAGGGTAGAGTACGGTAGGGTAGAGTACGGTAGGGTAGAGTAGGGTAGAGTAGGGTAGAGTATGGTAGGGTAGAGTACGGTAGGGTAGAGTACGGTAGGGTAGAGTACGGTAGGGTAGGGTAGAGTACGGTAGGGTAGGGTAGGGTACGGTAGGGTAGGGTAGAGTACGGTAGGGTACGGTACACTAGAGTACGGTAGGGTAGAGTACGGTAGGGTAGGGTAGAGTACGGTAGGGTACGGTACACTAGAGTACGGTAGGGTAGAGTACGGTAGGGTAGAGTACGGTACGGTAGAGTACGGTAGGGTAGGGTAGAGTACGGTAGGGTACGGTACACTAGAGTACGGTAGGGTAGAGTACGGTAGGGTAGGGTAGAGTACGGTAGGGTAGAGTACGGTAGGGTAGAGTACAGTAGGGTAGAGTACGGTAGGGTACGGTACACTAGAGTACGGTAGGGTAGAGTACGGTAGGGTAGAGTACAGTAGGGTAGAGTACGGTAGGGTACGGTACACTAGAGTACGGTAGGGTAGGGTCCAGTCCAGTACAATACAGAGCAGTACTGTATAGCACATTATAGACGTCTATGTTTTGGCCAAATAGATGTCAATGTTTGGGCTCTTGGAGGGTTGGAGCCCCCCTGCTGACTTTGCATCTCAGTACTCTACTTGTCCACGACCCACATGCTGGTCCTCTGTAGCTCAGTTGGTAGAGCATGACCCATGCAGCTTTAAAAAGACAGCCTCAATGGTGCTGCCTGTTCTGTCACAGACTCCATCATGTCACAGATACAACAATTTAGCCACACAACACAAACTCTATGGGATCAATTGTTTCGGTTGTGACATTTTGCAGTTCTGACTTATTTTGGACTTTAAATAATCCCCATAGCTACCACATGGCTGGCTATTTTTCATTTTGACAGATACTTTAGTTCCAAAACCGTGCTAAACATATTTCTTGATATATTAGATGTTCGGTAGTGACATTTCTTAAAAATACATGAAGATTGACCAACTTGCTCACTCATTTTCTCCAAAATGTTTGCAGACAGATTGCTCACCATGTGGCCATGCTGGAGAGGGGTGGTAGGGTAGGGTAGGGGAGGGGGTGGTAGGGTAGGGTGGGGTAGAGGGTTGTAGGGTTTAGGTAGGGTAGGGTAGGGGGTGGTGGGTAGGGTAGGGTAGGGTGGGGGGTGGTGGGTAGGGTAGGTGAGGGGTGGTGGGTGGGGGGTCTGGTAGTGGTAGGGTAGGTAGGGGGTGTTAGGTAGGGTAGGGTAGTGGGGTTAGGTCGGGTAGGGTAGGGTCCGTTAGAGGGTGGTAGGGTAGGGTAGGGTACGGTAGAGGGGGGTAGGTGGGTAGGTAGGGGGGTGGGGGGGTAGGGTAGGGTAGGGTAGGGGGGTGGTAGGGTAGGGTAGGGTAGAGGGGTGTAGGGTAGGGTAGGGTAGGGTAGAGGGGTGGTAGGGTAGGGTACGTAGAGGGGTGGTAGGGTAGGGTCGTAGGTAGGTGGGTTAGGGTAGGGTGGGTGAGGGTAGGGTGGTAGAGGGTGGTAGGGTAGGGTAGGGTAGAGGGGTGGTAGGGTAGGGTACGGTAGAGGGGTGGTAGGGTAGGGTACGGTAGGTTAGATGGGGTGGTAGGGTAGGTAGGTTAGGGTAGAGGGGTGGTGGGTAGGGGTAGGGTAGGGTGTGTGTAGGGTAGGGTAGGTAGTGAGGGGTGGTAGGTGTCAGGGTAGTGGTCGGGGGTGGTGTAGGTGTAGGGTAGGGGTAGAGGGGTGGTTAGGGTAGGGTAGGGTAGGGTCGAGAGTGGGTGGGTAGGGTAGGGTGGTCGAGGGGTGGTAGGGTAGGGTTACGGGTAGGTCGGTGAGGGGTGGTAGGGTAGGGTAGGGTACGGTAGAGGGGTGTGGGTGGGTGGGTGGGTAGGTGGGTCGGTAGGGTAGGGTAGTGGTCAGAGGTGGGTGGTAGGGTGGGTAGGGTAGGGGGTGGTAGGGTAGGTAGTCGGGTACGGTAGGGGTGGTGGTAGGTGGGTAGGTGCGGGTGGTAGGGTGTGGTAGCGGTGAGGGTGGAGGGTAGGGTACGGTAGAGGGGTGGTAGGGTAGGGTACGGTAAGGGGTGGTGGTAGGGTAGGGTAGAGGGGGGTGGTAGGGAGGTGTAAGTGGTGGTAGGGTAGGGTACGTAAGGGGTGGTAGGGGTAGGGTAGTGGTAGGGTACGGTAGAGGGGTGGTAGGGTAGGGAGTAGGTGTAGGGTAGGGGGTACGGTAGAGGGGTGGTAGGGTAGGGTACGGTAGAGGGGTATGGTAGGTAGGGTGCGGTAGAGGGGTGGTAGGTAGGTGTAGTAAGGTGTGGTCGGTGAGTCGGTAAGTGGTGTAGGGGTAGGTTAGAGAGGGTGGTAGGGTACGGTAGGGTAGGGTACGGTAGAGGGGTGGTAGGGTAGGGTAGGGTACGGTAGAGGGGTGGTAGGGTAGGGTAGGGTACGGTAGAGGGGTGGTAGGGTAGGGTACGGTAGAGGGGTGGTAGGGTACGGTAGAGGGGTGCAATCTCATCACCTGGTGACATGTGTAGGGGTGTGGCTTAAGGTACATTCATTCTACAGTCTTTTTAAAGTGTGTGTTTCAGTAGTGACATCGAAAGTGGGGACAATATTTTTCAGAGAAAGATGTTTTAAAATCAACAAAACGACTAATTATGTCAGTATCTTGCAATGCATTAATAGAACAACTCAAGATGTTCTATTGAAATAATAGTGTTCAAAAACAATCAAAAATCATGATTTTGTTTTATTTTCCAACATGAAGTTTAGGAGTCAGTGTTTGGGCCAGCCACCTCTATAGAAACATGTGTATTAACAAGGACTGGGTGCTACAGTGGATTAATTTAACAATATGTTTGTTATTGCCTTGGATTGAATTAGAACATATCATTATGTAAATAAATGTCCTACATTTGGAGACTTAACTGTTTTTTAAAATAGTTTTTGAGGGGTGGGACTGCAATTTGTACCACTTCTGTAGAATCACCTACATAGTACACTTCCTTTAACCAAGGTCCTGTTCCCTACATAGTACACTTCCTTTAACCAGGGTCCTGTTCCCTACATAGTACACTTCCTTTAACCAGGGTCCTGTTCCCTACATAGTACACTTCCTTTAACCAGGGTCCTGTTCCCTACATAGTACACTTCCTTTAACCAGGGTCCTGTTCCCTACATAGTACACTTCCTTTAACCAGGGCCCTGTTCCCTACATAGTACACTTCCTTTAACCAGGGTCCTGTTCCCTACATAGTACACTTCCTTTAACCAGGGTCCTGTTCCCTACATAGTACACTTCCTTTAACCAGGGTCCTGTTCCCTACATAGTACACTTCCTTTAACCAGGGTCCTGTTCCCTACATAGTACACTTCCTTTAACCAGGGTCCTGTTCCCTACATAGTACACTTCCTTTAACCAGGGTCCTGTATAATGAACAGGGTATCATTTCAGACCCAGCCATGTAATACAGTGACGTCGTTGTACCATAACTCAGTAGTTTGATAACGGATGGATGAAGGAGGAGCCCCTCTCTCCCTAGCCTGGTTGAACCCTATCTCTCCCTAGCCTGGTTGAACCCTATCTCTCCCTAGCCTGGTTGAACCGGACTGAACCCTATCCCTCCCTAGCCTGGTTGAACCCTATCCCTCCCTAGCCTGGTTGAACCCTATCCCTCCCTAGCCTGGTTGAACCATATCCCTCCCTAGCCTGGTTGAACCCTATCCCTCCCTAGCCTGGTTGAACCGGACTGAACCCTATCCCTCCCTAGCCTGGTTGAACCGGACTGAACCCTATCTCTCCCTAGCCTGGTTGAACCAGACTGAACCCTATCCCTCCCTAGCCTGGTTGAACCATATCCCTCCCTAGCCTGGTTGAACCCTATCCCTCCCTAGCCTGGTTGAACCGGACTGAACCCTATCTCTCCCTAGCCTGGTTGAACCGGACTGAACCCTATCTCTCCCTAGCCTGGTTGAACCCTATCCCTCCCTAGCCTGGTTGAACCGGACTGAACCCTATCTCTCCCTAGCCTGGTTGAACCAGACTGAACCCTATCCCTCCCTAGCCTGGTTGAACCATATCCCTCCCTAGCCTGGTTGAACCCTATCCCTCCCTAGCCTGGTTGAACCCTATCCCTCCCTAGCCTGGTTGAACCGGACTGAACCCTATCTCTCCCTAGCCTGGTTGAACCCTATCCCTCCCTAGCCTGGTTGAACCGGACTGAACCCTATCCCTCCCTAGCCTGGTTGAACCAGACTGAACCCTATCCCTCCCTAGCCTGGTTGAACCCTATCCCTCCCTAGCCTGGTTGAACCCTATCCCTCCCTACCTGGTTGAACCCTATCCCTCCCTAGCCTGGTTGAACCCATATCCCTCCCTAGCCTGGTTGAACCCTATCCCTCCCTAGCCTGGTTGAACCCTATCCCTCCCTAGCCTGGTTGAACCCTATCCCTCCCTAGCCTGGTTGAACCCTATCCCTCCCTAGCCTGGTTGAACCCTATCCCTCCCTAGCCTGGTTGAACCCTATCCCTCCCTAGCCTGGTTGAACCCTATCCCTCCCTAGCCTGGTTGAACCCTATCCCTCCCTAGCCTGGTTGAACCATATCCCTCCCTAGCCTGGTTGAACCATATCCCTCCCTAGCCTCGTTGAACCCTATCCCTCCCTAGCCTGGTTGAACCCTATCCCTCCCTAGCCTGGTTGAACCAGACTGAACCCTGCGCTCACCAACATTGTCTGATTTAGTGCCTTTTGATTTAGTGCCTGGGCTTGTCCACTCTGTTGTAATGAATCCTGTGTGGCTTGTGGGCATTGTAGAGGGAAACAGAAGATGACAACCTCATCTAGCGTCTACTGGAGGTTACCTGACGTAACCCCGGTTCTGTTTCTCTCACGACCCCATTTTCAAATCCCCTAGTTTTGGGAAAAACGCTGCTTCAGGGTATCACCTTCTCGCCCTCAGGAGGACGGTAGTCGCCCGTTCCTGGTCTCCAGTCCCACAAACGGAGCAGAGTCTCAGCGGGAGGGTTGGGTGGCCCACGACCCCTACGACCTGCACTACGGAGACACCCACTACTACAGCTACAGCCGTGACTGCTGGGACTGGACGGCCATGCCACGCACCCGCTTCGCCTCAGAGTACGGCTTCCAGTCCTGGCCCTCCTTCTCCACCTTACAGAAGGTACTGTACCAAGGTTGGGGATGGCCACATTTCAATTCCTGTATTGTACTACCTTCACGTCATCCAGTGATTTTAGATTTTCTCTGCCCTCAGGTGTCTGTGTCAGAAGACTGGAGCTATGGGAGTCACTTCTCTTCTCACCGTCAGCACCACCAAACTGGCAACCAGCAGATGCTCCAGCAGGCTGGGCTACACTACCAGCTCCCAGCCTCGGCAGATCCACTGAAGAGATACAGAGACACGCTTTACATCACACAGGTACCCCTTCAGAAAGGATTCACACCCCTGTGAGACTTTTTCCACATTTTGTTGTGTTACAGCCTGAATTTAAAAGTGATTAAATTGAGATTTTTGGTGACTGGCCTACACACCATATCCCATAATGTCAAAGGAATTATGTTTTTTTTTTCGAAATGTTTACAAATTAATTGTTATGGCAAGCCTAAATATGTTCAGGAGTAAAAATGTGCTTAACAAGTCACATAATAAGTTGCATGGATTGTTTAACATGATTTTTGAATGACTACCTCATCTCTGTACCCCACACATACACTTATCTGTAAGGTCCCTCAGTCAAGCAGTGAATATCAAACACGGATTCGACCAGGGAGGTTTTCCAATGCCTCGCAAAGAAGGGCATTGAATATCCCTTTAAGAATGGTGAAGTTATTAATTACACTTGGGATGGTGTATCAATACACCCAGTCACTACAAAGATACAGGCGTCCTTTCCTAACTCAGTTGCCCGAGAGGAAGGAAACCGTTCAGGGATTTCACCACGAGGCCAATGGTGACTTAAAAACAGTTACAGAGTTTAATGGCTGTGAAAGGAGAAAACTGAGGATGGCTCAACAACATTGTAGTTACTCCACAATACTAGCATAATTGACAGATTGAAAAGAAGGAAGCCTGTACAGAATAAAAATATTCCAAAACATGCATCCTGTTTGCAACAAGGCACTAAAGTAATACTACAAAAAATGTGGCAAAGCAATTCACTTTTTGTCCCGAATACAAAGTGTTATGTTTGGGACAAATTCAATACAACACCACTGAGTACCGCTCTCCATATTTCCAATCAAATCACATTTTATTTGTCACATGTGCCGAATACAACAGGTGTACACCTTACAGTGAAATGCTTACTTACAGCCCTTAACCAACAATGCAGTTTCAAGAAAAATACAATGCAAATAGCCCGGGTAGCCATTTGATTAGCTGTTCAGGCATAGTGGTGGCTGCATCATGTTATGTGTATGCTTGTAATCGTTTTTCAGGATAAGAAAGAAATGGATTGGAGCTAAGCACAGGCAAAATCCTATAGAAAAGCCTGGTAAATCTGCTTTCCACCAGACACTGGGAGATTAATTGACCTTTCATCAGGACAATAACCTAAAACAGTGGCCAAGTTAGTTTTTATTTAATCTACTTGAAAATCTATGGCAAGACTTGAAAATGGTTGTCTAACAACGATCAACAACCAATTTGACAGAGCTTGAAGAATCTTTAAAAGAATAAAGGGCAAATGTTGAACAATCCAGGAGTGGAAAGCTCTTAGAGACTTACCCAGAAAGACTCACAGCTGCAATCGCTGCCAAAGGTGATTCTAACATTTTCTGAGGCGTGAATACTTATGTAAATTAGATATTTCTGTATTTCATTTTCAATAAATGTGCAAACATTTCTAAAAACATGTTTTCACTTTGTCATTAAGGTGTATTGTATGTAGATGGGTGACACATTTAATTTAATTTATTTTTAATCCATTTTGAATTCAGGCTGAACACCACAACATGTGGAATAAGTCAAGGGGAATAAGTCAAGGGGTATGAATACTTTCTGAAGGCACTGTACATTACACAGGTACACCAGACGCTTTACACCACAGCCAGAGATCAGAGCGTGTGTTCACTTTGCCTTGACACACACATATATATATATATATATATATATATAGCGACTCCATAGGAGCCTACAGCCATCTGTCTCAGGGTTCACTATGACTGGTCTTCCTCCAGGTCATGCAGGCCCAGTGTGTTAAGGCCCAGACAGAGTTCTACCGCCGCAGCCAGAGTGAGGTCATCGAGGGCAAAGGTCACACCATGGGAGCTCTCTATTGGCAACTCAATGATATCTGGCAGGGCCCTTCCTGGTCCTCTATAGGTAGGTACTGTTACTGTGTGTTACTGGAGGGCATTTACACATTACACATCTGCATGTACTGGAGGGCATTTACACATTACACATCTGCATGTACTGGAGGGCATTTACACATTACACATCTGCATGTACTGGAGGGCATTTACACATCATACATCTGCATGTACTGGAGGGCATTTACACATTACACATCTGCATGTACTGGAGGGCATTTACACATTACACATCTGCATGTACTGGAGGGCATTTACACATTACACATCTGCATGTACTGGAGGGCATTTACACATTACACATCTGCATGTACTGGAGGGCATTTACACATTACACATCTGCATGTACTGGAGGGCATTTACACATCACACATCTGCATGTACTGGAGGGCATTTACACATTACACATCTGCATGTACTGGAGGGCATTTACACATTACACATCTGCATGATTATGTCCCATGTTGCCTTTTGTCTGAAGTGTCCGTTAAAATAAAATACTTTAAAATGTTAAAAACATGTTTAGCAGATGTTATTGCGGGTGTAGCGAAAAAGCTTGTGTTCCTAGCTCCAACAGTGCAGTAATATCTAACAATTCACACCAATAAACACAAATGTTAAAATGGGTCGAGAGTTTCAAGTTCCGTGGTGTCCACATCACCAACGAACTATCATGGTCCAAACACACCAAGACAGTCGTGAAGAGGGCACGACAACACCTTTACCCCCTCAGGAGACTAAAAAGATTTGGCATGGGTCCTCAGATCCTCAAAAGGTTCTACAGCTGCACCATCGAGAGCATCCTGACTGGTTGCATCACCGCCTGGTATGGCAACTGCTTGGCCTCCGACCGCAAGGCACTACAGAGGGTAGTGCGTACGGCCCAGTACATCACTGGGGCCAAGCTTCCTGCCATCCAAGACCTACAGTGGGGAGAACAAGTATTTGATAAACTGCCGATTTTGCGGGTTTTTACTACTTACAAAGCATGTAGAGGTCTGTAATTTGTATCATAGGTACACTTCAACTGTGAGAGACGGAATCTAAAACAAAAATCCGGAAAATCAGATTGTATGATTTTTAAGTAATTAATTTGCATTTTATTGCATGACATAAGTATTTGATACATCAGAAAAGCAGAACTTAATATTTGGTACAGAAACCTTTGTTTGCAATTACAGAGATCATACGTTTCCTGTAGGTCTTGACCAGGTTTGCACACACTGCAGCAGGGATTTTGGCCCACTCCTCCATACAGACCTTCTCCAGATCCTTCAGGTTTCGGGTCTGTCGCTGGGCAATACGGACTTTCAGCTCCCTCCAAAGATGTTTTATTGGGTTCAGGTCTGGAGACTGGCTAGGCCACTCCAGGACCTTGAGATGCTTCTTACGGAGCCACTCCTTAGTTGCCCTGGCTGTGTGTTTCGGGTCGTTGTCATGCTGGAAGACCCAGCCACGACCCATCTTCAATGCTCTTACTGAGGGAAGGAGGTTGTTGGCCAAGATCTCGCGATACATGGCCCCATCCATCCTCCCCTCAATACGGTGCAGTCGTCCTGTCCCCTTTGCAGAAAAGCATCCTCAAAGAATGATGTTTCCACCTCCATGCTTCACGGTTGGGATGGTGTTCTTGGGGTTGTACTCATCCTTCTTCTTCCTCCAAACACGGCGAGTGGAGTTTAGACCAAAAAGCTCTATTTTTGTCTCATCAGACCACATGACCTTCTCCCATTCCTCCTCTGGATCATCCAGATGGTCATTGGCAAACTTCAGACGGGCCTGGACATGCGCTGGCTTGAGCAGGGGGACCTTGCGTGCGCTGCAGGATTTTAATCCATGACGGCGTAGTGTGTTACTAATGGTTTTCTTTGAGACTGTGGTCCCAGCTCTCTTCAGGTCATTGACCAGGTCCTGCCGTGTAGTTCTGGGCTGATCCCTCACCTTCCTTATGATCATTGATGCCCCACGAGGTGAGATCTTGCATGGAGCCCCAGACCGAGAGTGATTGACCGTCATCTTGAACTTCTTCCATTTTCTAATAATTGCGCCAACAGTTGTTGCCTTCTCACCAAGCTGCTTGCCTATTGTCCTGTAGCCCATCCCAGCCTTGTGCAGGTCTACAATTGTATCCCTGATGTCCTTACACAGCTCTCTGGTCTTGGCCATTGTGGAGAGGTTGGAGTCTGTTTGATTGAGTGTGTGGACAGGTGTCTTTTATACAGGTAACGAGTTCAAACAGGTGCAGTTAATACAGGTAATGGGTGGAGAACAGGAGGGCTTCTTAAAGAAAAACTAACAGGTCTGTGAGAGCCGGAATTCTTACTGGTTGGTAGGTGATTAAATACTTATGTCATGCAATAAAATGCAAATTAATTACTTAAAAATCATACAATGTGATTTTCTGGATTTTTTGTTTTAGATTCCGTCTCTCACAGTTGAAGTGTACCTATGATAAAAATTACAGACCTCTACATGCTTTGTAAGTAGGAAAACCTGCAAAAATCGGCAGTGTATCAAATACTTGTTCTCCCCACTATATATACTAGGCAGTGTCAGAGGAGGTCTCCAGCCACCCTAGTCAGACTGTTCTCTCTGCTGCCGCGCAGCAAGCGGTACCGGGGTGCCAAGTCTAGGACCAAAATGCTCCTTAACAGCTTCTACCCCCAAGCCATAAGACTGCTGAACAATTCATCAAATGGCCACCCGGACTATTTGCATAGTCACTTTACAAATTACCCCCGCACATTGACTCGGTACCGGTACCCCCTGTATATAGCCTCGTTATTGTTATGTAATTTTCTTGTGTTACTTTTTGGTTTAATTATTTTTTTTTACTTTAGTTTATTTAGTAAATATTTTCTTAACTCTATTTCTTGAACTGCATTGTTGGTTAAGGACTTGTAAGTAAGCATTTCATGGTAAGGTCTGCAACTGTTGTATTCGGTACATGTGACAAATAAAATGTGATTTGATTATCTAAAAGTAAAATAATGGAATGAAGAAATATATAAATATTAGGACGAGCAATGTCCGAGTGGCATTGATTAGAATACAGTATATACAAATGAAATGAGTAGTATGTAAACATTATTAAAGTGACTAGTGTTCCATTATTAAAGTGGCCAGTGATTCCATGTCTATGTAAGGTGCAGGGTTGAGTAACCGGGTGGTAGCCGGCTAGTGATGGATATTTAACAGTCTGATGGCCTTGAGATAGAAGCTATTTTTCAGTCTCTCGGTCCCAGCTTTGATGCACCTGTACTGACCTCGCCTTCTGGATGATAGCGGGGTTAACAGGCCGTGGCTTTGGTGGTTGATGTCCTTGATGATCTTTTTGGCCTTCCTGTGACATCGGGTGCTGTAAGTGTCCTGGAGGGCAGGCAGTGTGCCCCCGGTGATGCGTTGGGCAGACCGCACCACCCTCTGGAGAGCCCTGCGGTTGCGGGGGGTGCAGTTGCCGTACCAGGCGGTGATACAGTGGGGGAAAAAAGTATTTAGTCAGCCACCAATTGTGCAAGTTCTCCCACTTAAAAAGATGAGAGAGGCCTGTAATTTTCATCATAGGTACACGTCAACTATGACAGAGAAATTGAGATTTTTTTTTCCAGAAAATCACATTGTAGGATTTGTAATGAATTTATTTGCAAATTATGGTGGAAAATAAGTATTTGGTCACCTACAAACAAGCAAGATTTCTGGCTCTCACAGACCTGTAACTTCTTCTTTAAGAGGCTCCTCTGTCCTCCACTCGTTACCTGTATTAATGGCACCTGTTTGAACTTGTTATCAGTATAAAAGACACCTGTCCACAACCTCAAACAGTCACACTCCAAACTCCACTATGGCCAAGACCAAAGAGCTGTCAAAGGACACCAGAAACAAAATTGTAGACCTGCACCAGGCTGGGAAGACTGAATCTGCAATAGGTAAGCAGCTTGGTTTGAAGAAATCAACTGTGGGAGCAATTATTAGGAAATGGAAGACATACAAGACCACTGATAATCTCCCTCGATCTGGGGCTCCACGCAAGATCTCACCCCGTGGGGTCAAAATGATCACAAGAACGGTGAGCAAAAATCCCAGAACCACACGGGGGGACCTAGTGAATGACCTGCAGAGAGCTGGGACCAAACTAACAAAGCCTACCATCAGTAACACACTACGCCGCCAGGGACTCAAATCCTGCAGTGCCAGACGTGTCCCCCTGCTTAAGCCAGTACATGTCCAGGCCCGTCTGAAGTTTGCTAGAGTGCATTTGGATGATCCAGAAGAGGATTGGGAGAATGTCATATGGTCAGATGAAACCAAAATAGAACTTTTTGGTAAAAACTCAACTCGTCGTGTTTAGAGGACAAAGAATGCTGAGTTGCATCCAAAGAACACCATACCTACTGTGAAGCATGGGGGTGGAAACATCATGCTTTGGGGCTGTTTTTCTGCAAAGGGACCAGGACGACTGATCCGTGTAAAGGAAAGAATGAATGGGGCCATGTATCGTGAGATTTTGAGTGAAAACCTCCTTCCATCAGCAAGGGCATTGAAGATGAAACGTGGCTGGGTCTTTCAGCATGACAATGATCCCAAACACACCGCCCGGGCAACGAAGGAGTGGCTTCGTAAGAAGCATTTCAAGGTCCAGGAGTGGCCTAGCCAGTCTCTAGATCTCAACCCCATAGAAAATCTTTGGAGGGAGTTGAAAGTCCGTGTTGCCCAGCGACAGCCCCAAAACATCACTGCTCTAGAGGAGATCTGCATGGAGGAATGGTGCCAAAATACCAGCAACAGTGTGTGAAAACATTGTGAAGACTTACAGAAAATGTTTGATCTGTGTCATTGCCAACAAAGGGTATATAACAAAGTATTGAGAAACTTTTGTTATTGACCAAATACTTATTTTCCACCATAATTTGCAAATAAATGTATTCAAAATCCTACAATGTGATTTTCAGGAAAAAAAAATCTCATTTTGTCTGTCATAGTTGACGTGTACCTATGATGAACATTACAGGCCTCTCTCATCTTTTTAAGTGGGAGAACTTGCACAATTGGTGGCTGACTAAATACTTTTTTCCCCCACTGTATATGGACAAGCAATGTCAGAGCGGCATGGACTAAGATACAGTAGAATATTATAGAATAGAATGCAGTATATACATATGAGATGAGTAGTGCAAGATATGGAAACATTATTAAAGTGACTAGTGTTCCATTTCTTAAAGTGGCCAGTGATTTCAATAGGCAGCAGCAGCCTCTAATGTGTTACATTTTAGTCATTTAGCAGACGCTCTTATCCAGAGCGACTTACAGTTAGTGAGTGCATACATTTTTCATACTGGCCCCCCGTGGGAATCGAACCCACACCCCTGGCGTTACAAGCGCCATGTTCTACCAACTGAGCTACAGGAGGCTTCATATCATACAGTGCCTCTGAAGCAGAGGTGAGTCCGGCTCATGCCTGCGACTTCAAAATCAGTCACCCTCGGCGGAAGGGGAAATTGCCTTTTGGTCTCACGGTCAAGACGTTGGTTTCTCCCATGGGAGACCAGGGTTCAGATCCTGCGCTTCACTGTTCTTCTTCTTCGTCTGCAGAGTTTGGTGGGAAGTGGAAGATGCTGCATTACTTTGCCCAGGACTTCTTCTCCCCTGTGCTGCCGGTGGGCTTCGAGGACCAGGGTAGTCTGGTGGTCTATGCTGTGTCTGACCTGAGCCACGACCTTCACCTCAGGACTGTGGTACGTTGACCCTCTCGCCATTTTTAACCCATAAAATAACTGTTTCTCAATACCACATTGAGTCCACACATTAAAAACACAGAACACAGAAACATGTCTGTTTATTAACCTATTGATGCAGTCAGATCCATAATTATCTTGATAAAGATTAGCAAAAAATACTGTATAAAATAAATTATACAAATATTGATCTACAGTGCATTCGGAAAGTATTCAGACCCCTTGACTTTTTCCACATTTGTTACGTTACAGCCTTATTCTAAAATGGATTAAATTAATTTTTTTCCTCATCAATCTACACACAATACCCCATGATGACAAAGCGAAAACAGATTTCTTGAAAATGTTGCTAATTTATTAACAATACAAAACAGAAATACCTAATTTACATAAGTATTCAGACCCTTTGCTGTGAGACTCGAAATTTAGCTCAGGTACATCCTGTTTCCATTGATCATCCTTGAGATGTTTCTACAACTTGATTGGAGTCCACCTGTGGTAAATTCATTTGATTGGACATGATTTGGAAAGGCACACACCTGTCTATATAAGGTCCCACAGTTGACAGTGCATGTTAGAGCAAAAACCAAGCCATGAGGTTGAAGGACTTGTCCGTAGAGCTCCGAGACAGGATTGTGTCGAGACACAGATCTGGGGAAGGGTACCAAAACATGTCTGCAGCATTGAAGGTCCCCAAGAACACAGTGGCCTCCATCATTCTTAAATGGAAAAAGTTTGGAACCACCAAGACTCTTCCTAGAGCTGGCCTCCCGGCCAAACTGAGCAATTAGGGGAGAAGGGCCTTGGTCAGGGAGATGACCAAGAACCCGATGGTCACTGACAGAGCTGTAGAGTTCCTCTGTGGAGATGGGAGAACCTTCCAGAAGGACAACCATCTCTGCAGCATTCCACCAATCAGGCCTTTATGGTAGAGTGGCCAGACAGAAGCCACTCTTCAGTAAAAGGCACATGACAGCCCGCTTGGAGTTTGCTAAAATGCACCTAAAGACTCTCAGACCATGAGAAACAAGATTCTCTGGTCTGATGAAACCAAGATTGAACTCTTTGGCCTGAATGCCAAGCGTCACGTATGGAGGAAACCTGGCACCATCCCTACGGTGAAGTATGGTGGTGGCAGCATCATGCTGTGGGGATGTTTTTCAGCGGCAGAGACTGGGAGACTAGTCAGGATCGAGGGAAAGATGAACGGAGCAAAGTACAGAGAGATCCTTGATTAAAACCTGTTCTAGAGCGCTCAGGACCTCAGACTGGGGCGAAGGTTCACCTTCTAACAGGACAACGACCCTAAGCACACAGCCAAGACAACGCAGGAGTGGCTTCGGGACAAGTCTCTGAATGTCCTTGAGTGGCCCAGCCAGAGCCCAGACTTGAACCTGATCGAACATTTCTGGAGAGACCTGAAAATAGCTGTGCAGCGACGCTCCCCATCCAACCTGACAGAGATTGAGAGGATCTGCAGAGAAGAATGGGAGAAACTCCACAAATGCTGGTGTGCCAAGCTTGTAGCGTCATACCCAAGAAGATTCGAGACTGTAATCGCTGCCAAAGGTGCTTCAAGTAATATAAAAAAAATCTACAAAAAGATAGGAGTCAAGATTATTGGTAACCCTAATTTCAGTACACCCCCCTGTTTTATGAGATTGGAGAACACATTGGGAGGGATCTTAGACCATTCCTCCATTCAGAATCATTCCAGATCCTTGATATCCTTTGTCTGCGCTTATGGACTGCCCTCTTCAATTAAAACAACATGTTTTCAATGGGGTTCATGTCCGAAGATTGAGGTGGCCATTGCAAAATGTTTATTTTGTGGTCAATTAACAATTTCTTCGTGGATTTTGATGTGTGTTTGGGGATATCAGCCTCCTGGCAGAGGCAAAAAGGTTTTTGGCAAATATATGCTGGTACTTGGTAAAGTTCATGATGCCATTGACCTTAACAAGGGCTACAGGACAGGTTGAAAGCAAAATGGTTCATCTTCGATTTTATGGGGCTATGTTGGTTCCACTGGTCCTGAGGCCCTTTTTAAGGTCATGAAATATTCCAGGTACTTGGACATTTTAGCCAACAACCTGGATGCCTCCGCCAGGATGCTGACACTTCCAAGTGGATCTTCCAGCAAGATAATAACCCCAAGCACACATCAAAATCCACAAATCAATGGTTTATTGACCACAAAATCAACATTTGGCAATGGCCATCTCAGTCTCCAGACTTGAACCCAATTGAAAACCTCTGGTTTGAATTGAAGAGGGCAGTCCATAAGTGCAGACGAAGGATATCAAGGATCAGAAAATATTCTGATTGGAGGAATGGTCTAAGATCCCTCCCTATGTGTTCTCCAATCTCATCAGGCATTATAGAAAAAGGCTCAGTGTCGTTATCCTAGCAAGGGGAGGGTGCTAGAATATTGAAAACAAGGGTGCCAATAATATTGACCCCTATCTTAAAAATGTTTTTATTACTTGTTAAACAAAATCTCTTTCTCTGAGCAATTGTATTAGTATAAAATAAAATACTTGTAATTCTTTTTACAATAAAGTTCAGTATTTGTATTTATTTTATACACTCTTCTTTCTCGTCTTTATCAAGGGTGTCAATAATTATGGACCTGACTGTATTTATGTAAGTACTTCACTACTGCCCTTTAGAACCAGTCCCCAGGCAGGCGAAGTGGATAACTATTTTCCTCCGTAGTCCCCAGGCAGGCGAAGTGGATAACTCTTTTCCTCCGTAGTCCTCAGGCAGGCAAAGTGGATAACTCTAATCCAATAGTCTGCTGCTGGAAAAACGTATGTGTTATGGCTTTACACCCTCTGCTATAATGTGGATAAAGAGTTACCTGTCTAACAGAACACAGAGGGTGTTCTTTAATGGAAGCCTCTCCAACATAATCCAGGTAGAATCAGGAATTCCCCAGGGCAGCTGTCTAGGCCCATTACTTTTTTCAATCTTTACTAACGACATGCCACTGGCTTTGAGTAAAGCTTTGAGTAAAGCCAGTGTGTCTATGTATGCGGATGACTCAACACTATACACGTCAGCTACTACAGTGACTGAAATGACTGCAACACTTAACAAAGAGCTGCAGTTAGTTTCAGAATGGGTGGCAAGGAATAAGTTCAACCTAAATATTTCAAAAACTAAAAGTATTGTATTTGGGTCAAATCATTCACTAAACCCTAAACCTCAACTACATATTGTAATGAATAATGTGGAAATTGAGCAAGGTGAGGTGACTAAACTGCTTTGAGTAACCCTGGATTGTAAACTGTCATGGTCAAAACATATTGATACAACAGTAGCTAAGATGGGGAGAAGTCTGTCCATAATAAAGCGTTGCTCTGCCTTCTTAACAACACTATCAACAAGGCAGGTCCTACAGGCCCTAGTTTTGTCACACCTGGACTACTGTTCAGTCTTGTGGTCAGGTACCACAAAGAGGGACTTGGGAAAATTGCAATTGGCTCAGAACAGGGCAGCACGGCTGGCCCTTAAAAGTACACGGAGAGCCAACATTAATGATATGCATGTCAGTCTCTCCTGGCTCAAAGTGGAGGAGAGATTGACTTCATCACTACTTGTTTTTGTAAGAGGTGTTGACCAGCTGAATGCACCGAGCTGTCTGTTTAAATTACTAGCACACTGCTCGGACATCCATGCATACCCCACAAGACATGCCACCAGAGGTCTCTTCACAGTCCAGAACAGACTACGGGAAACACACAATGCTACATAGAGCCATGACTACATAAACAACACTTTATGGAACAGCGCGGACTGTGAAGAAACACACACACACACACACACACACACACACACACACACACACACACACAGGCACACACACACACACACACAGGCACACACACAGCATTCGCAAACACATGCTAACACACGCACTCTACACACACACATTTTAATATTGTTATTTTGCTGTATTATTGATGTTGTATTGTAAATATGTTATGGTAGAGTAGTATGTAATAAGGTGTTGTGTTATGGATTGTTTTATTGTATGTAAATTGGGGTTGGACCCCAGGAAGAGTAGCTGCTGCCTTGGCAACCGCTAATGGGGATCCCTAATAAACCCCAGGAAGAGTAGCTGCTGCCTTGGCAACCGCTAATGGGGATCCCTAATAAATAAAAACACCATCGGTGACAGAGTAGTGATTGTAGACTGATTTATCTTGTTATCAGGTTTCGGTGTATGAGTGGAGCAGTCTGGATCCTGTGTGCACTGTGGCTTCCGGACAGGTGCTGGTGGAAGGAGGAAGTGCTGAGGTCATCCACAAACAGCCAATCACAGCCCTGCTGGCGGGGTGTGGGGGTGGGAGCTGTACCCGCCTCACCTGTCTCCTGACCTTTCACCTTGAGGATGTCAACGGCCAGCAAGGTCCCATCAACCACCTCTTCCTCAGCTCACCCAAAAAGGCCCAGGGGATGCTGAGACCCAACATCACTGTAAGATGAACCAATAGGAAGGACACACTCTCCAGCAGCACAATGACATCATCACAACTGACTGCAGCATCTTCGTTAGTTCTGGTTCTAATTACGTCACATCAATCATATTTGTCCGCTGGATCTCCTATAGGGCAGTTGGGGTTAATATACAGATTGTTATTGGATAGATAAGGAGTGCCCGTCCCCCCCGTCTCTCTGGATGGCAGCATGACTAATGTATACACTCTTATGGTAGTCTGGGTTAATACACAGCTTGTTATTGGTTGTGCGTTTATAATACATTACGCATAGTTCATAGGGTGTTATAAACGTGCCTATAACACATCACGAATATGTTATTGATAGGAATGGACCAGGAGTGCTCCGTTTTCAGCCCGTCTCTCTGGATGGCAGCATGACTACCGTAGTGACCCCTCTCTCTCTCTCTCCTCTCAGGCCAAGGTGCAGCAGGACGAGGTGGGAGAATACACCGTGACCCTGCAGTCCTCCGCCGTAGCAGCCTTCGTATGGCTGGATGTGGGGGACGTCCCAGGACGATTCGGCACCAACGGGTTCCTCATGGTCACCAGGAACAGAACAGTGACCTTTAACCCCTGGGGTCTGACCAGTACCCAGCAGCTAGCCAAGGCTCTGACTGTTACGTCATTGAGAGATGTGTACTGACATGGCATCCTATACCCAACGTAGTGCACTACTTTTGACCAGATCCCTATGGGTTGTGTACTATATAGGGAATAGGGTGCAGTTTGGGACGTACTTACTGAACCACTACCCAGTACCCAGGAGTTAACCCAGACCCTCTCTATAACCTCTCTGAGATGAGTACTGAGACCCTCTCTATAACCTCTCAGAGATGAGTACTGAGACCTCTCCCTAACCTCTGAGATGAGTACTGGGACCCTCCTAACCTCTGAGATGAGTACTGAGACCTCTCCTACTTGAGATGAGTACTGAGACCCTCTCCCTAACCTCTGAGAGATGAGTACTGGGACCCTCTCCCTAACCTCTGAGATGAGTACTGAGACCCTCTCCCTAACCTCTGAGATGAGTACTGAGACCTCTCCCTAACCTCTGAGATGAGTACTGAGACCTCTCCTAACCTCTGAGATGAGTACTGAGACCCTCTCCCTAACCTCTGAGATGAGTACTGAGACCCTCTCCCTAACCTCTGAGATGAGTACTGAGACCTCTCCCTAACCTCTGAGATGAGTACTGAGACCCTCTCCCTAACCTCTGAGATGAGTACTGAGACCCTCTCCCTAACCTCTGAGATGAGTACTGAGACCTCTCCCTAACCTCTGAGATGAGTACTGAGACCCTCTCCCTAACCTCTGAGATGAGTACTGAGACCCTCTCCCTAACCTCTGAGATGAGTACTGAGACCTCTCCCTAACCTCTGAGATGAGTACTGAGACCCTCTCCCTAACCTCTGAGATGAGTACTGAGACCTCTCCCTAACCTCTGAGATGAGTACTAAGACCCTCTCCCTAACCTCTGAGATGAGTACTGAGAATAAGAATCATGCAAATCATTTGTTGTTGTGACAGCCAAATATGTTAATGACACGTGAGGCTGCTGAAAACCTTTATTGAAATGACAAAAAAGTGTCAGTAGTTTGCTGAAGATGGCGCCAAAAGTTAGGCTAATTACATGGGAGTAACGGGAGTACCCTACGTCTGTACCTTACTCGGTGGTGTGGTCACGTTAAGCCACGCCTTGCCTGGAACTCAATCAATTAAGAAAATCTAATTTTCTGGTGCTCCTAAATTTCATGTGGTGCGCCTAATTTTTTTAAGTAGGGAAAACCAGTGCTACCAATCTTTTTTTTTGTTTTTTTTTGCCCTGACTGAAACCCTCTCCCTAACCTCCCTCAGAGATGAGTACTGAGACACGAGAAACCCCAACACTCTCAGACGGTGGATGGACAATGTTGTGTGTGAGATTTGTTGTAAATAAGATATCATTGAAGGAATTTGCAATAATAAAGTAAATGGAGATATATTTTGTATGTTTGTATTTTGCTATAATTTAGATTTGTCGATTTCAGACTACAATGAAAGTCCAATGTTGTTGGTAAGGCTTTACATACACTAATTAACTATCTAACTACTGTAGGCCATTGGGTTTAGGAGCCTACAGTAAATTGGAATACCATTAAGTGATATCCACAAGGAGCCAGTGGGAATAAATTACCAAAGTACCCTTCATATTTCACTTTGTCTTCACTGTCCCCGCTACCCAAAACTACACGTTCTAAAACTGGGATTGAAGTAACAGTCCATTTTACCATTGTTCCATGTGTTGTCATATGGGGGCTATCAATTTATTCCCATTTAATCCTCTACTAAATGTTTTCATTCTGTAATTGAACATGTTGCAATTTGCCAGGCAAGTGTGTGGTCAGTCAGAACGGTCACCTCCATATTGGTCTCCCCCGAGGTGATCTTTTAACCGCTAGAGGGCTTTCTGATCACTGCAACTGCTGATAGGATAGCCCCGCTAGTATTGATTCAGTTACTGATAGGATAGCCCCGCTAGTATTGATTCAGTTACCGATAGGATAGCCCCGCTAGTATTGATTCAGTTACTGATAGGATAGCCCTGCTAGTATTGATTCAGTTACTGATAGGATAGCCCCGCTAGTATTGATTCAGTTACTGATAGGATAGCCCCGCTAGTATTGATTCAGTTACTGATAGGATAGCCCCGCTAGTATTGATTCAGTTACTGATAGGATAGCCCCGCTAGTATTGATTCAGTTACTGATAGGATAGCCCCGCTAGTATTGATTCAGTGAACATCACAGGACGAACTATGTCACCTCTACAGGATCAGTGTCCCGAATTCGGGACAGTTGCTGCTCAATATGCGATATGTGACTAGAATGGCGTTGTAAACAACAGCCAACTTTCCAGGACATAGACATGTCTTATATGGGCAGAAAGCTTAAATGATTGTTAATCTAACTGCACTGTCCAATTTACAGTAGCTATTACAGTGAAAAAATACCATGCTATTGTTTGAGGAGAGTGCACAACAACACAACACTTTTATAACGGCAACTGGTTTGGTACATTCACCTCTGAAGGTAAATAATGTAATTTTGCTCTGATTTGTCATCCTGAGGGTCCCAGAGATAAAATGTAGCATAGTTTTGTTTGATAAAATCCATTTGTATATCCTAACACGATCCATGTTGAATACAGCATTTTGCATGAATTCTGACTCTTTAAACAAAACAATTTATGAAAATCTAATCAGAAAAACGTTGTTTAACCCCGGTCAAGTTCGGTTTCTGTGCAATCCTCCAGACTCTAGAAGGCAACCAAACGTTTCATCATTCTACATGACGTATTGGCTACACAACACGTCAATTAGCCCATGAAGGTCAGCCATCATTACGCACCAATGAGACGAGCAGTGTTCACTTGATTTACAGTGTCTTGGTCCAATGACCACCTAATATGTTGAAACCACTGCTAGTGAGATAGCCAATGAGCTGTGACTCTCCAGCAGTGTGACAAACAGCCATCATGCTAGAGCAGTGCGCAACAGTGTTCATTCCAAGGGTGAAAGGAAACAGGACGCGCGGTAGTTTACGTCACGCTGCAGTTCGTTCTCTTCTACAAACTTTTCTCAAAACTGAAAAAGTAAAACATGGCTACTAAGAGTGGAAAAGATCAATTGAAGTCCAAGTGTAGATATTTGGATGAGATTATTGCAGAAATTGACTGGGAGAGTGACACAGAACGAATGGATGAGGACTCTTGAGTGAGCACAGTTTTGATTCCAGCGCGGAATAAATGTTTTTGGAAGGAAAATATCCACTTTTAGATCTCTGACTCAGATGACCTCTGGGGAGCCAACTCCAAAAGAGACCACATTCAAGTCCTCCATCCCCCACTCATTCAAACGTAGGAACTGGTTCCTCCAGTCTGACTCCTGCTGTCTGTGGCGCCACACCCACCCCCCCGGCCGGGCCATCCTGAGGTGTGAAGAGGCCAGCCCAGAAGCGGGGGAGGGCCAGTGCACCAGAGGCAACTACCACTGTGCTAGAGGTTGATGTGGAGCCACTTCCACCAACATTTAGACCTAAAAGGCAGCCAGGACCTCAGCTGGACATTTTTTATTTTTTTGTCATTTAGCAGACGCTCTTATCCAGAGCGACTTACAGGAGCAATTAGGGTTAAGTGCCTTGCTCAAGGGCACCTTTCGGTTACTGGCACAACGCTCTTAACCACTAAGCTACCTGCCGCCCCGTGACATGGCTGGAAAGTACAGACCCCTTCATCTTTGTGTGTAAACTTACTTTTTTTTTGTTACTGTAGCATTTTTGTATGTTCTCTATAGTTATGTACTTGAAAATGTATAAACCTATTCGGCCACTTGGGTACATTTGGGCAAACTCGTGAGGGACACCTGGGAGACTTCATACTAAACATTCATTCTTGAATGTATCAGTCTGAAACGTTGCACTCACACTGTTTCCCTGTTGGGGACAACATCTAGATGACCCCCAGCTTCCTGTCTCAACGTCTGGCCTTTCCTTTCTTGTGCATTTAAAAGATGATGCAATAAAAATAGAAAACATGTTATTTTTGTTTGTTTGATCTTTTACCAGATCTAATGTGTTATATTGGCCTACATTAATTTCACATTTACACAAACTTCAAAGCGTTTCCTTTCTAATGGTATCAAGAATATGCATATCCTTTCTTCAGGCACTGAGCTACAGGCAGTTAGATTTGGGGTATGTCATTTTAGGCGGAAATTGAGATGAAGGGTCCTATCCAGAAGAGGTTTTAATGTGCAACAGGATTTGTCTTTATCATGGCAGTCCTTGATTTGAAAAGGGCATTTTATGGAAACAGCTTTAGATCGATGAACACTTTCCTCCGCTGAAAGAGTTTGTTCTGTTTTCCTGTAGGATTGGAGACTATTTATTTCAATGAATCCGGCAGGCAATATTTACGCCTTTCCTGTTCAGCGACGCATCAAAACTTTCTCCAGCACAACTCCCAGTTCACTCCCAGTTCCCTCCCTGTTCCCTCCCAGTTCACTCCCAGTTCCCTCCCAGTTCCCTCCCAGTTCCCTCCCAGTTCCCTCCCAGTTCCCTCCCTGCAGGTATTTAATGTATCACTTCAGATCTTTAGCGCTACTTTTTATTTCTGGGTCGAATACTGTACAAGTGGATACAGAACGCGAACGGTGAAAATTACTATTTCAACAGCACATCTTCAAAACTTTCTGCTGTTAATATCAACCAGTGGCTGAGGCATTTATAGTGGCTGAGGAAAACCCACTGGTCAATTCTGAGGTCAAATATTTATGTCTATTTAACAACTTTCCACTAATGATTGTATTGTAGTCTACTTTAATCTACCATCCAGTGAAGTTAACAGTCTGAGCAATCAGCTAATAGCTCAAAGATAATCATGGAAGAAAATAAATGCAGCCTACTCCATGAAGATGTTGCAGCCTACTCCATGAAGATGTTGCAGCCTACTCCATGAAGATGTTGCAGCCTACTCCATGAAGATGTTGCAGCCTACTCCATGAAGATGTTGCAGCCTACTCCATGAAGATGTTGCAGCCTACCCCAATGATGTTGCAGCCTACCCCATGAAGATGTTGCAGCCTACCCCATGAAGATGTTGCAGCCTACCCCATGATGATGTTGCAGCCTACCCATGAAGATGTTGCAGCCTACCCCATGAAGATGTGCAGACTACACCCATGAAGATGTTGGGCAGGCCTTACCCCATGAAGATGTTGCAGCCTACTCCATGAAGGATGTTGCAGCCCTACTCCATGCAAGATGT